CGGAGAGATAGAGAAACTGAATGAAGGAGAGAGAGAGAGAGAGATAGAGAGAGAGAGAGAGAGAGAGAGAGAGAGAGAGAGAGAGAGAGAGAGAGAGAGAGAGAGAGAGAGAGAGAGAGAGAGAGAGAGAGAGAGAGAGAAAGAGAGAGAAACAGAGACAGACAGACAGAGACAGACAGACAGAGATGGATTAAACAGCTGCACTAATCTCACACAGCACCTAACAGACAGGGGAGCAACACTTCCGGTGATGGTCTTGCCTCGGGGGATGAGCGACAGTCGTCCTTATGGTCAGCATAATCTATCCATTATTATTTTCTTAATCCAATCCTACTTCATGAAACTAAATAAGTGTTTATTGCGTAAGTTCATAGGAGAAATAATCTGCTTTATGTGGTGATAAAATGCCAATTGAATGCAACTGAGAATGAATACTGCAATAATCCTTTTGCAAGAGAACTTTTTGAAATCTTGATTAAAAGATCTTGATTATTTATACGCCCATTTATCTCCATTTATATAAACATCTATCTTTCGAGAGAAAAAAAATAATAATCCGTGCAGTACTTGTGCAATGTCGCAATTTTACGGTAAGTCAGCAAAATACTCTTAGGAATATATCTAATTTGTTTTCACGAGCCGAAAAGAAAACGGAGCTGTAGTAAAATAAAGTGAAAATTTTGCCATAAGTGGTTTAGCGAGCTCTGTGAGGCAAAATGGAGAAAGTGTATTAATATGGACGCTTATTTGCATTAACAAAACAACTTGACGGACTTCTGGATTAATGCTAATGACCATCACTTCATTGTTGCATATGTGTGTTTGTTTGTTTGTGTTTGTGTGTGTCTGTTTTGTGTGTATATCTGTTTGTGTGTATGTATGTATCTCCTTGTTTGTATGTGTGTTTGTATGTGTGTGGGGGGGAGAGGATTGACTGAAATATACGAAATAAATTCATTTTCCTACTGGCTGATATCTTCCATCATTTATGAACTTCGCTCGAATTTCAGATAATAATTTAAAAAAAAACTTACTAGAAGGAGGTGAAAAAGAAGCAATAGACAACTTCTATTGCCTTTGATAATGAATATAACATCTTATCAATGATGATAATACTATTAGCGATTATGATGATAATAATTACGACGACAAGGATGATAATATTAACGGCAACAATAATGATAATAATAATAATAATATTAGTAATAACAATGATATTATTAATAAAGATACTACTAATACTATTGAAAGTAATGACAATAGTAATAAATCTAGAAAAATGACACCAATGGCCAGCAGGAACCGGCTGGAGGCGCAGAGGAGGAGTCCCATCGGCGCCAGCAGATCCGCGAGCGCTCTGTCCCAGGGGCGCGTCCTCCAGGGGATCTCGGGAGGGGGGGGGGGCGCCGTGGGTGGAGAAGGGGGGGCGTCGTGGGCGGAGCAGGGGTGTGTCGTGGGCGGAGCAGGGGGGGGTGGGTAAAGGGCGGGAGGAGCAGCATGGAGTGGGGGAGGGGGTGGAGTAAGTGGGGGAGGGGGTGAGAGAGAGAAAGGGGAGGTTGAGAAAGTAAGTAAAATGGGAGGGGGGGAAGGGGGAGGGACAAGGAGGAGGTGAGATGAAAGAAGAAGGAGGAGAGGAGTAGAAGGAGGAGGAGAGAAGGAAGATGGAAGAGGAAGAGGGAGGCACAAGAAAGAAGGAAGAGGAAGAGGCAGGCACAAGAAAGAAGGAAGAGGAAGAGGGAGGCACAAGATAGAGAGAAGGAGGAGGAGGAGAAGGAGAGAAGAGAGAAGGAGGAAGAGGGAGGCACAACGAGGAGGAAAGAAGAGGGAGGAGGAGGAAAGAAGCAAGAATTAGAAACAAGCGAGATAGCGAACAGCGGAGGAACGGGGTAGGGGCGAAGAGCGGGCAGCAGGAGAGGCGGAGGGCGGGAGGGTAGGACAGCAGAAGGGGGGGAGGGGAGGGTTGGAGGGCGGGAGGGGAGGGCAGCAGAAGGGTGGGGGGGAGGGGTTAGGGGGGCGGGGCAAGCAGGCAAGTATCGCCGTCACGAGGAATGTGACGCGAGGCGACGCGGGAAACGTGACGGGCGTTCGTGAAGGGCGGTTCGTGCGCGCCGGAGGACCTCCCGCTTGTCAGGCCGCGAGCGAACTGATTTCCCGCAGGATGGAGGCGGCGATAAAGTCCTTTTTACTTGTTTACTGTCGCGGTTTTATTATGCTTCTGTGCTTCTGTCTTTTTATTTTTTTTTCTCTCTCTCTCTTTCTTTCTTTTTCTTTCTTTCTTTATCTTTATTTGCGATTGGGTTTATGTTTCTATTATTTTTTTCTCTTATTTTTTCGCGTGTGTCTTGCTCTGAAACTCGCACGAGGATGCACGAGTAAAATATTTTCAATATCAGGAAAGAGAGATGAAAAAGTCCTAAGAAATTAATGATTTATATATGTATATGTACGCGATGCAAACGTATATATCTGTCTATCAATTTCTCTATCTATCTATCTATTTATATATATACATATATGTACATACATATGTATATATACTTATATATTGGTGTCGTGATTATCATGACCATTAACATTTTTTTCTCAACCGTAAATCAGAAAAATATATATATATACACATATACATACATACATACATATATATGTATATAAATATGTATATATATGCATACATACATATTTACATAATACATATATATATATACATATGATATATACATAGATATACATGTATATGTATATATATATATATATATATATATATATATATATATATATATATATATATATATATATATATATATGTGTGTGTGTGTGTGTGTGTGTGTGTATATATAAAGATAAATGCGTTCATATATATAGATATATAATGTGCCTAGCCTTGTCTTTCAGCTTCCTCTTCACACAGATACCAGCCTCTGGTTCTCCCCCCTCTCTCAACTTAAGCAAACGCTAAACAGAACGCAAAAAAAACGCGAAGTTGATCTGGTCTCTCCCCTCAGGTCGTAAGGAAGACAGACGCAGGATCTCTGGCAAAGTGACGTGAATGTAAGAGGAAATGTGGAATCGAGACATATAAACGTCGTTTTCTGGGCGCAAGAATACTCTAAGGAACCATATGTCATGCAATATATATATGTATATTTTACTGTATCAGGAATTAATTAATTTATCTATCTGTTAAATTAATTTTTCATCATCACGTTTTTTTCTTTGTATGATATGAGGAATTTTCAATAACGGCTATGTTTTTTTTTAGGATATTATAGACTAACGGGAGCGAAACAAAAATAAGTTATTTGAAAGATCGGGGTTTAGGCTTTTAGGCGGCTTGCTAAAGGAAGAAATCACACTAATAAGTTGATAGCTGGTTACATATATGTATATATATATATATATATATATATATATATATATATATATATATATATAGAGAGAGAGAGAGAGAGAGAGAGAGAGAGAGAGAGAGAGAGAGAGAGAGAGAGAGAGAGAGAGAGAGAGAGAGTGAGAGAGAGAGAGAGAGAGAGAGAGAGAGAGAGAGAGAGAGAGAGAGAGAGAGCGAGAGAGAGAGAATTAGAGAAAGAGAGAGAAAGAGAGAAAGACCTAGAGAAAGAGAGAGAGAGAATTATAGAAAGAGAGAGAGAGAGAAAGACCGAGAGAAAGAGAGAGAAAGAATTATAGAAAGAAAGTAGGAAAAGAGAGAGAGAGAGATAAAGAGAGAGAGAGAGAGAGAGAAAGACCGAGTGCAAGAAAGAAAGAAAAAATAACAAGCACGTGCCATATATTCCGCGAAAACGGACGGCAGAGTTACGAGGCACGACGTGCAGATTTCCTTAGAATTTGCATCAAAAACGCTTTCAATGAAGCTCCGACAGAGGAGACTCGGATCTCATACAGCTGCGGAGAGAAGGCCGACGGGGAAAGGGGAGATGCGAGTTACTGGCTTTGCGTCTTGAAGGAGTTAATACAGGGTTGAAAAGGAGGATGTGATACCTTTGTGCATGCATGCGTATGTGCATATATATATATATATATATATATATATATATATATATATATATATATATATATATATATATATATATATATATACACATGGACACACACACACACATAAATATACATATAGACATGTGTGTGTGTGTGTGTGTGTGTGCGTATGCATGAATGGAGAAGTTGGAGAAGGCAGAAAAAAATACCAAGATACAGATAAACTTAAATGTTATAGAAAAAGGAGATCTATGCAATGAGAAAAAAAGACGACGGAGAAAAAGAGAATAAGAGAGAGAGAGAAAGAGAGAGAGAGAGAGAGAGAGAGAGAGAGAGAGAGAGAGAGAGAGAGAGAGAGAGAGAGAGAGAGAGAGGGAGAGAGAGAGAGAGAGAGAGAGAGAGAGAAAGAGAGAGAGAGAGAGAGAGAGAGAAGAGAGAGAGAGAGAGAGAGAGAGAGAGAGAGAAGAGAGAGAGAGAGAGAGAGAGAGAGAGAGAGAGAGAGAGAGAGAGAGAGAGAGAGAGAGAGAGAGAGAGAGAGAGAGAGAGAGAGAGGGATAGAGAGAGAGAGGGAGAGAGGGAGAGAAAGAGAGAGAGAGATACAGACAAGCAGACAAGGAAACAGACAGACAGCCAGGCAAAAGTCATAAGAGAGAGAGAGCGAGGGAGAATGAAAGAAAAAGTTAAGAAATCGAGGAATAGAGATAGACCGAGAGAGAGAGAGAAAGAAAGAAATGAGGAAATCGAGAGATGGAGAAAGAGCGAGAGTTGGAGAGAAAGAGAAACTAAGAAATCTAAAGTGAGAGAACGCAGAACTAATTCTTCTGCTTTCTCTCACAAAAAAGGGACAGCGAAAAGAAGAAACAGAAAAAAAATAGAGACTGAGTGAGAGAGAGCAGTAGAGAAACTGAGAGACAGAGAGACGAAGAGACGCCCCAGTCCAGCGAGAGAAAGCGCTTGAGCGAGGCGCGAGCGACAGAGGCAAAGAGAGACAGCGCGGCTCCGGGTCGTACCTGGGTCGGGACACCTGTGAATAGTACTTGTCGAGCTCCTGCAGGTACTTGAGCGCCTCGGCCATGTTGGCGAGCTGGCTGGGGTCGGGCTTGGCTTCTGCGACGCCGCCCAGGTCCGTCGCGACCACGAGGACGACGACCACCACGACGGCTGCCCACACTTGGCTCACACGGCACAT